ATTGATCTACGCTGATTGGTGGAAATTAATCTGGGCTGATTCAACAACTGATCACAGCTGACCTAGACGTGGACAAATATGATTCGCAGACAAGTGGCTCGCATTTCCGAGAAATATCGAAAACGGGAAAGCAGAAGACTGCGTTTGTTTGCAAACAACCAATCAGAAGACCGCCTTCTTTCTGCGGGCAGAGCCTTATTAATGTACGTAAAATACATATAAATACCTGTTGGTTTTCGTAATAAAACTGATCTGTTGCCTGGCCCTTGTCTTCTGTTGTTACACCATGTTTTTGTTTGGCCACGACTTACTCTTTTCCATCCTGCACCTATATCAGCTAGTAATGCCCGTCGGAGGAGGCGATGGCTAGGCATGCGTAGCACGTCACCTAGCCATCTCAATTTATGTAACTTTATAGCCTCGTCCATCGATTTTCGCTCTTTGCTCAACACTCTACGTCTAACGTCAACATGACTTACCTTATTATGCCGCCTAACGTGAGAAAGAGATCGTAAACATCTATGATCAAAAACAGTCAACTTTTTCATGTCTTCAACTCGTATTGGCCATGTTTCAGAGCCATAGAGAAGGACGGAGAGAACTGCTGAGCAGTACACACGTCCCTTGGTTGATAGCCGGATGTCACGCCTACGCCAGAGATGGTGTAAATGAGCGAAAGCAGCCCGAGCTTTTTGGATCCGTGCTGAGATTTCGTTACCAATCAATCCGTTGGTGCTGATATAACTTCCCGAATAGGTGAAGTGGTCAACATGTTCTATCACTTCATTTCCTATCACTAAGCTTGGAGTTGACGTAGTCCAGTCCTGTAGCAGCATCTTACATTTTACAGGGGCGAATCGCATGCCAAACATACGAAGATTGCTGCTCAAGGTGTTCAGAAGACTCTGCATTTTGTCAGCGTCCTCCCCTAACAGGACTATGTCGTCTGCGTATTCTAAGTCCATAAGACTATTCCGTGGTAACAAGTCGATTCCTAAGTCGTTAAGTTCAGTTAAGGATACTTCCATTAGCTAAGTGGTAAGCTGAAATCCATGAACCCGTTAGGGGAAAATTATCTATTTATTCCTTTCGTGACACCTTCCAGTTTGCCAAGTGTATACAGGATAAAAATGCTTCGAAAAATCATATGTTGTCTTTGGATGTAGAATCCCTATTTACGAACATTCCACTGATAGACACTATATGTTTTCTATCAACTTGAATGTTCGTTGTTCAAGAGGATGCAAGAACAGTATTCTGCTTGGTTATCAAGATGTGGAATCGAGGCTATAATCACAAACATTTTCATTCCATTTCACACTATTATTATTTTACGTATATAAATCTTTGTCTAAATTTCCTAACAAGATATAATTTTCTAAAGATGGTTTGTAAGGATTAGTTTTGCTTTTACGAGTTGATCATGGATTGATATTATTTAGAGAACCGTTGAAAACAAGCACAAGAATACTGGACAGCTGTTTAACCCTAGTTTGGGGATAACTGGTATTATGCACCCATCGGGGTTCAAACCCAGGGCATTCCGGTTACAAGACAACTTCGTATAGCATTCAGCCACTAGGACCCGACTTAAAAGAATCATGAATTCTAACTTTTATCAACTCGTGATTTAGCGCGACCACAAACATTGTCGTCGAAGGGACATCCATCCTCACTCCGAACTGGATGAACCTCATTGGTCACGACTTCTCACTAGAACTCCAGGGTCACGCTAAATCACGAATTGGTAGAAGTTATAATTCATGAAGGGGCCACTGAATCAGGTCCCAGTAGCTGACTGGTATATGAGCTTTCCTTCTAACCAGTAGGTCATGGGTTCCAACCCTGGTGGTGGGTGCGTACTGGCGATGAGTCCAAAACGAGGATGAAACAGCTCTCCAGTAATCCAGTGCTGGTTTTCGCTGGTTCTCTAACTGATATCAATCCGTGACCAACTCGTAAAAAGATATAATTTCTTAAAAACCATATGCATATTATACGATGGTACAGCTTGTTAAAAAAATCATTGAAAAGGGTCACATTCTCTGAATCACTCAGTCTGATTGACATACATGTCTTAAATTAAATGATCATTGTAGTGACATGAGTTATTCAACTCTTACAATAGCCTTCAGTACAACAAGTGACCTAAAGTAACACGATTTTAGATGGTGAATAATTTATATGAAAAAACTGGAGTTAAATTAGCTTAGACATTCAGATGTAACAGATTATGTATTTGACCTTTGACCACTGCATGATAAAAAAATAAATATCTAATTTCGTCACTTTATCGAATCGGAGACTATGAAGAATTTCATTGAAGGAAATGTCATTGATACATATATGTGTGCGATAGGATAGTGTGAGTTATATTGGGGTAAAGTGTCGAGTGTTAGGTAAGGAGGGAAATTTAGTCGATGAAGTTGTGAAGCTACATCGATTGAGATGGCAAAGACATGTGTTACATGTGCCTAGCCATCGCCTTCCTCAACGGTCAGTATTAGCTGATATAGAAAGGATCAGGTGGGAAAAGAGTTAGTGATGGTCTAACCAAAACATGGAATCATTCTATGAAATCTTTAACAGTTTTTCTTTATACAATGATTCCCTTTTATAAATTTGAAGAAAGAAAGAAGAAACATTGGCGCAGAATAATCTGGATCCATTTTATCTTGTCGGTTCTCATCAGCTGCGTGCAGCCTGAATTCTTTAATAAAACAAATAAGTGTACAATTTTAACAAAATTTTGTCCATTAGTAAGCATATTGTCAGAGCGTCATAGTGAAATAAGGCGTTGCGATCTACAAGGCGCCTCAAGTGTTACGACGTATATTTATATATCTTGTTAGAGAGAAGTTCCTTGAAAAAAAATTAATTAACAATTGTATTGTTGGGGTGGTAACAAAATTAGTAATAGTTACGTAATTAGATAAAAGAAGATCAAAATTTCGATGCACATGAGGTCAGATGAGAAGTTGATGATGTAATACAGTGAGCAGAACTCAGAAGATCAACAAAAATTATCTCTTAAGAGAGTCAAGCGAAAAATAAAAGGGGAGGGATGAGTGAAAAGATAAGTTAACAAAATCAGAAAACAAAGAGTAACTAAGACGTGAGTCACCAGGGTAAGTGAAGTCCAGCTACGGATTCTTTTTGGACGCATAAGTCAGACTTCAGTCGTTTTATTACTATATTTTATTTTTATTATTTTATCAATTATTTATTTATTATTATTTATTTTTATTTTATTAAAGAATATAGGTTGTAAGCAGCTGATGACAACTGACGAGATAAAATAGATCCAGACTATTCTGCGCCAATGTTTCTTCTTTCTTTGTTCAAGTTTTTCTTTAATTAGACACTAGTTAGTAGCTAGTGTAATGTGACTAGTCCTTCGTTTGGTGCAAACTGAATTCTATCAGTAAAGTTTACGATATCTCATGTAGATAAGCGTAGGCTTCTTGGTAGGGGTCCTATGAATTCTCATAGTCAACTTCTAGGATAGAAGGTGGCTGGTATCCTCCCTAACTCTTAAGGAGTGTGGAGAGGACACCATGTAGTGCGTCTTCTGGTGTTTTAAATGTTTATTTTAACGTGAACACAAATGGACTCCCCCGAACGCCATCTCTGCGCTCTTCCGTTCTGCTACTAACACACTTATTCTTGGGTTTTGTAATTCAACCATATTAGTTAAATAAGTCCTAAGCCCTTTTCCTTGAATAATATTTGGTATTTAGTTTATTCAGATATAAAGTTTCATCAGAGCATACCAATAATTAACTGAGTCTTCTTGACTTGTGCTTTGTTGTCAGTAATTACTGCTTAGGTAGAGTTTATTTGGCAATTAAGCTAATTATATTTGGTAAGAGCTGGAATAGTGTAGCTAGCTGACATCACAACCAGTACCTTGAAAATTTTATGAAAGAATTAAGTGACAGTGTTCAAGAATAATAACTATATTCAGAGTCTGAACTAATAGGATTGAAGAGTCACTGACTATCTCATACCAAAGTAAAAAATCCTGAATTCACTACATTGTCTTGTTTAACAAGTACAGTTGAAATTGTCAGACAGAACGTGCAAAAGTTGATGCGAATACGATTATGATTATTATTGTTCCCTTGGGTTCCCAGTTGAACATACGGCTTCAGCAATACATCTTCACTTTGTTCTGCTCTCTAAGGTCCTCTTAGGCTTGCTCTTTAATTATGCCTAGTCTGTCATCACCTCCTCACACGATATATTCCATGTCACGCTCGGACCAATGCCCAACTCAACCTTTCTCATGAGGGTTTCACTTGAGCGATGGCCTCCCATGTGTGTGGTGTTCCCCAACGGTCTTCTCAGTGCGTGTCTGATCCTGCTCCATTTCCTTCGGGATATTTGCTGAGCAACATTTTCTTCAGTTGTTCGTTCTCAGAGTTCCTTATATCTAATTCCATCTAATTAGAGCCGACCATGTCACGCTCAGAATGAAGCCAGAGAAGGCAGCTGTTGTTAAAAGTCTGCCATAGCGTCTTGGAAATGCTTTCCGTGAAGCGAACACCAAGTTTCTGACCCATTTGGAAGAACCAAATTATTTGATATTAGTGTTAAAAGTCCAAATTTTGTTGTTTTCGTTATGGAGTTCAGGAGTTTCCCAAACTGATTTCAGAATGCTGAAGATTTGTCTGGCTTTTCTAATTCTGGTTTTGACTTCCTAACCTGTGCTTGCACCTTTAGTTGAAACGATTTTTCCCGGATAAGTGAAGGAAGTAACCCCGTTTTAGTTCCTTCCGTTGATAGTGACTGGTGCTTCTTGTAGTTGTTGTTGGTTAGTTACCTTCATAATCTCCGTCTTCTCTATGTCCACTTGAAGTCCTGTTTTTTCTGCCTGCCTCTTCAACCGGTTTCTTGGTTTTCGCCTGTTTGCCTTCGAGTTTCTGTAACATTTCACTTACATCATCGTCACATACACACATACAAATAAAATAAGTAAAACGTTTATGAAAAATTACCTTTTTCGGATCTATAATATTTTCTTCATTATCGCATTCATTACATGTAATTAATAAATACTTTGTCAACGGTTTATATGGTCTATTATTTGTCATTTGTTGTTTTAACCATTGTATCATACGATTTGTTATATTCACTGTTAAATCTGATGTTGTATGACCTTCTGGTATGTTTGTGTTAGCGATTTCCGGTTTAATTAATTTAAACATTTTTTGATAATCATGAATTGATAGATAATATGACCTTTCAGGATTATTAAAACTTGGTGTTATTAACATATCAGTTGAAGACGACTGTTCTGAATAACTTTCACCGGCATTATAATCATTTTCATTATTGGTCCTTTGTTCCATTGATGGTGATGACGCAATTGATTCGTCTTTACCGTTAATCCATAAAAATTTTGATAAATATGCCGTAGGATGTATTTCCCAACATGTAAACTTTGCATTTGAACGAATTTCGCCATTAATCTATGCGAAAGAAAACGAAAAAGATAAAGGGTCAATGAAATAAATAAGAGGGGATTGGATTTCAAAGTTCCAGAGTTAAGAGAGAGAGATTTCAAAGGTAGAATTCCTCACCATGAGACAAACTGTTCAGTGAAACACTAAAACAAAAAGCATGAAGTTAGCAGTATCTTAGTTGCAGTTCTCCGCTCCATTCATGAGAGTCTATGAAGAGACGGTACTCCTTGATTCACTGGGTGTTATAGATCATTGATGTTCGAAGCAACAATCTCTGGGTCTTCATCCTGAAGGGAACACTATCACTTTCTGGAGACCAGGAAAACCTATCTGGTTGGTTTCAGATAGGGCGAAACAAGCTTCTTGGATTCTACTTCTAGCCATTACATAAAAGGTAACTCTAGTCAGTTCCCCTAAATAGGTGATACTTTATTGTGTATATTCTAAAACGGTGTTCAGTGGTGAGTTCTTCTGTGTTAAGCTTCAAAATGAAGATCATTTGAGTAGTTATTTTTATCAAAAATCCCCATGGTGTAATTACAACAAGATAACTTTAAGCGAACAATTGTGTTCGATAACTTCTCCATCAAGCTCTACAGTCATAAATCCATGAATATCACAGAATACAAATAACCAATGAAGGCAAATGAAAATTATACCAGAAACCGTATTAGGGTACATGTGTAAAGTGGGATATTAGTCCGTTAGTTAACATTGTCGACTGAATGTATATAAAATATACAGTTAATGTGCAAGGACAACTGGGTGACAAACTTATGCATTTATAGTCAACAAAAACTAACTGCATGGAGGATTTCATCAAATGCTGACACCAGTTAGAGAACCATTGGAAAACCAACTGAGAGTACTGGACAGCTGTTTCGTCAGCCTAGTTTGGGACTCTTCATCAGTACGCACCCACCCCAATAGGGTTCGAGCCCAGGACCTTCTGGTTACAAGACGAGCTCGTAGATCATTGAGCCACTGGGACCCAATTAGCAGATGTTAGAATTCAACGACCATTGGATCGGGTCCCAGTGGATCAATGGTCTACGATCTCGCCTTGTAACCAGAAGGTCCTGGGCTCGAACCCAAATGGGGTGAGTGCGTACTGATGAAGAGTCCCAAACTGGGACGAAACAGCTGTCCAGTACTCCTTGAATGGTTTTCCAGTGGTTCTCTAACTGATGTCAGCTCATGATGAAATCCTCCATGCAATTAAACAAAATCCCTACAAAACCAATACTTGAAAACAAATTAAGTTTTGAGTTTGGTTTTTAGGGATTCATTTGATCAGTCATAGAGCTGAGTGAAGCAATAACATACAAGACGAATTGTATACAAAACTCAATTCAAGAGGACCAGGACTCATTGCAGCACTCCCACACTAAGGAAAATTGAAGAAAGATATCTGATGGACGTCTTCCAAAAGAATGGATATCCACGGAATTTCATCAAAAGACACATACCTCCAATCCAACCTATCAAATCAAGGACCCCAAAGAAAGCATAAAGAAAGTTGCCCTACCATATATAAAGGACATCTCAGAAATCACTGCAAGACGTTTCAAACACTTAGGAATTGACGTCACGAACAAACCAACAAAATCACTTCACTCAGCTGGCTCTATGTCGACCAAAAGACGCAACAACGAAAGAAGATAAAACCAACATCATCTACAAGATAAATCGTAACAACTGTGAAAAACATTACATTGGCCAAAGTGGACGTCACCTTCGTCTCCGTATCCATGAACATAAACTAGCTGTCAAAATACATGATATCCACTCCCTCATATCACCACACTGCATACAGGCAACCACAGGCATCAATTCGATTGGGACAATGTTCACATATTAGACAGAGGAAACACGAAGAATGCTAGAGAATTTTTAGAAGCCTGCCTGGTATTCCAGTGAATCATCAATCAACAGTCACATCGAGATAGACAAACTTTATCAATCAATAGGAAGGAAATCTCACACACAAAGGGTTAAAGTTCAAGTCAAACAAACAATCATTTACAATACAAGTAGCCTAAATGGTGTGAAAACACACGAAAACAACCAATCACGTCCATGTCACCAGGAGAGATGATTAATAAACTCATGGAGAAATATAAAAGCTCACTTCAAATTGAAGTAAGCGCTGAAGATGTTGTCTAGTAGGGTAACGAAAGTATCCAGCTCAGAGATCACAACTACATCAAAATTATGCACCTGAGCTTCATATCAGGTACGTAGATCAAAATGGTGGATAGAAGCTTAATTATGCAGGCAGAACACAAACACTCAAAGAAATCTAGACAAGCGGACTCTACTACGATAAGTCACCTCGAAAAACATCTCAGCTATATCACAGAGCACAGTCACATGTCACCATGAAGTAGGATGTGACAAAGCCAAAACTTTAACATACAATATGGCTCCGTAAAAAGACACTTGTTAATTTTAACTCCGTTCACTGAATCCACTAAAAATGCATGCATCCACACCTGTCCCAGAAATTCGAAAAATTTTTCTACCCGTAGAATAAATGAAAAAGGCAAACTAGAATTATAAAAATCAAGTTCCAGAATTATGGAGTTACATTTGATAAGATTATTTAGAAGAATCATAAGTAATACTGTCCTACATGACAAACAAACGTATATGGGATTACATATTGACACATACATGTCCAAATTTCACAAATGTGTTAACTATTAACCACTTTTAAAAGCCATTGGAGAATTAACTATTCATAAGTTTTTTAGACAGGAAAACAATAAAATCTTTGAAAGTTAAAGGAAATTAAATTCCAATGACCTTCGGAAAACTGAAACTATGAAATCCGTAGATGCAGCAAATTTATGCGCACTTCCTAGAACTACCACCAATAATCAGAAGAATACAAACTACAGATTTAAAATTGAAACTTTCCAATCCCCTGAAGATTTTTGAAAGATTCCCCTTAAAATAATTAAAATGGATTTGGAAAGTCAAGGTACAACAAAACCTGATTTGTTTTTTTCCAAATTTGAAACCATAGAATAGGCAATAGGTAAGTTTTGTGAATTATTTTAAAACATCTACTGTAGGCTACTAATGAGTAGCTTAAATAAAATTTCAAAAGTATTTGATTTGATTTACAGCTTGATTCCACACCGTATTTTCAGTACAAGTGTGGAATTTTCAGCATGGATATCGGTAGCCCAAATTCAGGCCGACCATAGATATCGGGTGTGCGCCGGCAGGGGATCGAACCCCGGACCATGTGCATGGTCGGTGAGAGTCCTAACCACTGTGCCACCGACGCACAGAACCTCGTCTAGTTTGCTAGTTCTCTAGTTTTCTAGGCGGTCCTAATCGCCAGAATTGAGGGAAAGGTGTGAGGCGGCCAACCATATCCCTGAAAAGCAATCCGCCTGCCACAGAAACTTCAAAGGCTGACAAAAATTTAAAAAAACAAACTTTTTCTTTGTTGGAATGGTAGAGATGGAATGATGCAGACTGTTGAAAGCCTTCAAGAACACAAACAGTCAGTGTTCTATTTCCATGAAAGCAAATAACCTAAGCAGTTGAGGTGGAATGACGTCACAATGTAGGAAACTAATAAGGCTTCCACGGTTGGCAAAGAAATCAGAATATATGGCATAGAAGTGAACTCTCCAACTTATTGACTGAAGAGTCACAAATAGCAACCGAAGCTCTTATGCAGTGGGAACCAATCTCCACCTGGATAATGACAACAAGATTCAATTCGAAAGGAAGGCAAGTTACAATCACCGGACGCAAAGAATTTTTAAGGTCAAGGTGAAAGCTTTCAAAGCAAATGGAGGCAGACAACAATTCAAGTTCAACATTCAGAAACTAAAGGAGGAAATTACAAAAGACACATTAACTGTCGATATCAGAATAAAGTCTGAGATATTACGTAATATCACTGAGAAAGTCTGTGTAGAGGAATATTGGAAATCTCTGAAGATGATGTTAAAGGAATTATATACGGCCATATCAAGAAAAATAAGTGGTAAGAAAAGGATTGGCTCTCTACAGACACGTAGAATGTAATAGAAGAGAGGAGGATGGTGAAAAAGAAGATGAACTAATGCAGAGATAAACAACAATAGGAAAAGCTGAGTTGAATGTGCAACTTACTGAACAAAGGAATGCTGAGTCAGTCAGTCTAAAACTAATTCCATAATCAGTCATCTGAATATAGGTAACTCCAAGGATTTAAAAGAGAAAGATAAACACGAATCATACCCATTTTGACATTACAAGGTGAAAGTAAGTAGCTCCACAGAGAATCTCTTTATGGAGAGGCAAGTTATAGAGTTGCACATTTACATTTAGATATAACCGTTCCGTAGGCAGGTACATTATATTGATTTCAGGTCAGATCAATAACAAGCACCGGTTAGAGAACCATTGAAAACCACGGAGTACTGGACAACTGTTTCTTCCTATTTTACGGCCCTTCAGCGATTTCCAGCCACATATCGAAAACCTGATTACCTAGTTATAAAGCTAACCTATTGCTGAGAATTCTAGCGAGAAGTTGAAGTCAGTAGAGTCTACTCAGTCGGGTGTGAATACAAACACTTGTCTATAAAACTGAACTGAGGTAGAAGTTAGAATTCATGTGCCACTGAAGTTAGTCTCATTGGCTGAACTGTCAACAGGTAAGCCTAGCAGTCTAAAGGTTGAGGGTTCTCTCCGTGGTTGAGTTGTGGGTGCATACCACCGAAAGGTTTAAAACCAGGACGAAAAAGCTATCCAGAAGCCTCTGACATAATTTGGACCTTTAATTAATACAGCTCGTGTTCAGGCTTAGAATCAACCAAATCCTTGAAAACTAATACTTACAAATACCATAAATCATTTGAAGGAGTAGGTCGACAATGGTTCTCAAAAAAGGAATTCATTAGAATGTCATTCTCATTATAAATTAATTAATTTAAAAGAATATACAGGGCAATCTACTTCGACCGAAACCCATTCATTGTGGTCGGAACTCATGG